AACATGGGAAACTACCGAGCCACTGGGGCGGAGCCCGATAGGATTTTTGAGATAAGAATATGCCTATATGTTAATCGGGAATGTAAGCTATCATTATGCCAAATTTCAGCCCAATCCGTCCAGTAGTTAATGCGTGATTGAATTTCAAACAAACAAACAAACAAACACACAAACTTTCACATTTATAATATTAGTAAGATAATATTTGTATTAAACCATGGAAACAGTAAATATTTCATAAATGAACAAGTTCACTGCTAATGACACACTTGTGCGTCATCAGTATATTAGCAGGTATATAATATATAATGTATATAATTATATAATACTAGTGGCTTGTAGGGACATAAGTCCCTAAAAAGCGCAATAATGTAAAACAAATTATTCGAATATCTAAACAAACTCAGAAATATATTATCCATGTGTCATAATAGATATCCCTGTACACCATATCTTTTGTGCAAAAAAACAGTTTGTTGTTTGCCTTTGTTGATATTATTTTCAATAAATAATTTGAATCACTAGGTTCAACTCTGCTTAAAACAGCGAACATATAATTGTTTGTGAATAAATACTGGTTTATTAAGGTAGCTTTGGTCTTGTGGTTGATGGTAATAAAAAAAAGACTTCTCTGATTGGAATTTTGGAAATTGTCTTCGTCAAATATGAAAAAGCAAATAAAGGTGTGTTGAAGTAAGCTTAGTTCTTGGCCAACCCCGCTAAATTAGCATCCCCTACTCAGTCAATATTTCTAAGTTTATACTCCTTTTGTTAAGGTTTAACAACATTAGTGTAACGTAAAGGCATCCCATTGACCAAACTTAACCCTAGATTTTTTCTGGTCAACATAAAAAAAAACTACAATTAGTGTAAGATTATGTGGTGGTATTCCTCTTAAACGTGCGATTGACGTTACATATTCCATCAAATTAGGCCTAATCATCGGCTGATTCTTAACCCTTTTGCGACTGGTTAGGGTTTCATTACCCAGTTATCGAAACCAATAACGACATTACTTTTCATCATCAATTACATGTATATTTTTGGTTTGTTTAAGGAACGAAAAGCAACGGGAACTACCTCTAGGTTTTACTGTTATATGTGGATGCTCCCATTGCTATTATATACCATCCATGCTAGGTTATATTATTTTAACCTCTTTTGCTTAGAGCAACAGACAGTAACTTTTAAAAATCTCCAAACAATATTGTTTTCCTCCCATTGGAACTTGTCATAGTACTTACTTAATTAACAAATATAAATTTCCTGTACGAACCTATTTCATCTTTATTCCCAGGTTGTCTTCTAAAAGTGGCCATTGAGTTTATTCCACTTCATACAAAATATTGATTAAACACTACAATAAATCTCAGATTTAAAATGTAAGTAAATTTACAAAGAACGTGTAGAATAAATCTTGAACATATGTTTTTAAATGAAAACAAAGCAGGAGTTTACCATTTAATCATGAATCGTTAATTATTAAGTCAATGGGTTATTTAATTTTAAACGTTAAAAATATACAAATTGAAAAAGTTTCACAGTAAAATAATTTATTTCAACATCCTATAACGTAACTAAAAAGTCTTAATTATTAAAGGTAGGCTAACGTTATCCCTTGTTTTTTATAAGTACATTGCTGAATTGACTGGCATCCAAATGTTAACATTGAGCACTGGCTTGATGATAAATCACGATCAGCTGTATTGAAGTAAACAAAAATCAGCAGTAAATGGCTTCTAATGCTATTCTTATGGAGAACACTTTACGTTATATCTCGTTTTCTAGTAACTTTATGGGAATTCTGCTATTTTTCCCGAGTCCCTGGGATCAAGACCTTTAATTTAAGACCTCCCCCACTTTTCTGCGACTTACCAGACATCCAAAATTTTCTGGTAAAAATTTTGTCTTACAGAATGATATATATATCTAACAAAAAACCACTAAGTGGTAACACTTTCCCCGCCAAGTTAGCAATCCAAAAAAGATAATAAATCATTACTTTTTCCGCCAAGAAAAACAATGTAATGTATGTAAGTTTGGCAACTTGGCGGCAGACTTTTGCTCGATCACTTTAAAAATACCATAAAACTAGTTTCATTGAGCAAGTATCTCTCCCATTAGTACATTGCTAGGTGAGAGCTTATTTTACAAAACTTGACCTTATTTGTGCCACATTTCATAAAATCATAATAGTGATGGTTTTATATTTACTGATTACCTCGAAATTATTATACTTAGTTGGACTAATTAATTAGAGAAGTTGATTTGTGAAATTATCCACGAACGTAACTTAAATGAAAAAAAAACCAAGCAAAAGTCTGCCGCCAAGTTGCCAAACTTACATACATTACATTGTTTTTCTTGGCGGAAAAAGTAATGATTTATTATCTTTTTTGGATTGCTGACTTGGCGGGGAAAGTGTTACCACTTAGTGGTTTTTTGTTAGATTTTATTTATTTTTGTAGAAAATTAACCGTTCAAATAAAAATACTCTTTTCTCTGAAAAAAAAAAATAAATTTTAATGCTAAAGTTGACTGAACTCTCGATCTTCCGGTAGTCTTTGCAGAGGGTACCGGTTTTGTACTCTCATCCTGCACTTTTTCGACATTTTTGGTCTGGCACCACTTCCTGTCTCTCACATAAGGAGCCGAAGAGGAGTCACAACTTGTGTTGTAAAGTGGAAGGTCAGACCTGTACTTCTGCCTTAGTCTGTTGTATTCGAGAATGGCGGATTTCTGAGGCTTCACATCTCTTGGGTTAAAGTTAATAAGATGAAGCCCTTCTAATGAAGTCACTCGTGACAAGGCAACATATGATTGGCTACATGTAAATATGGACTCCCCAATATCAATTATTACGCTATTTAAGCTGAGGCCCTGGCATTTGTGAATTGTAACCGCGTAGGACATCGATATCGGGAATTGCTCTCGATACACAAATGCGTTATCCATCACTTGAAACTTGACGTTTACTCGCTGTAGGTGATGGGTAATGCCACAATCAAAGTTAATTGTCACTGAGTCTACGTCATCAGAATTGTCTGTATTAAACCTCAACCCCGTTACTGTTCCAATGGCGGAGTTAACTAGCCCCACAGTGACGTCAATGTTTCTAAGCAACATAACTTTAGCACCAACCTTAATAGGAATAATTTTCTCCATACCAGCCGTTCTGCTGCAGTCAGAGTTGTAAGAGGACAGTATCTTTTTAACTTTGTTTTGTTGACGAGGTAGACAGTCAACTGAGTCTTTTGCAACCAAGTTAACGACAGGACCACTTATTCTATTGACCATTTCATCATTTATTATGGAGCATTGGTAACCAGTTGAACAAAGACACACAGAATTGTTGGGAAAAGCAGACAAGTAATCTCCTAATAGAGAAAGGTTTTCACAAGCAGTTTTTCCATTAAGATGTATTTTCTTGCTTTCAATTAGACGGATGTCCTCAACGGTCATATTGCCTACTCTGACTTTGCTTAACACATCAGCAAACTTAGAATCTTGAGCTTGTCGCATGTTTGTAGTAAGTTCATCATAAGAGAACTGTTCAGACCAGATGTTAACACAAGACAGAGAGCCAACAAAAGAACTAAGTTTGCTACTGTCAAGTTCAATGAATGGGGAGTCTTCGTGTACTGGTGGAAGTTGTAAAAGGTCTCCAAAGAGCAGTATATGTTTTTTACCAAACCAGCCGTTACTTTGGTCTGAGGTGTTGAATATTTCACACAATCTGAGAATGATTGCCCCTATCCAGTAGATGAACAATTATTTTAATAGCTTTTGTTTCTTCAGAGCTATAGACAAGTAAAAAAGCCACTTTGTCACGTCATGTATATATACACTGCAGCAGCTGTGTACCGCTGGGGGACTTGGCGGGGCGGAACGCTGCCGCGTTCCTTAATAGATATTTTAATTCACAATTTATAATAGGATACAATTTATTTAATAAAAGATATATTAACACTTCACATACATGATCATGTTATTGTTTATGTTTTTTAAGTATTACATATTATCATTAACAGTGAATGTGTTAATACATTTCCCAGTTTGTAGAAAATACTGTAAAGAAATTGAAACATTTACACTTAAATTTGGTCTTGGAGTCTTACTTGTTTTCCGGCTCTTGTTGACTGAACCAGTCAGTGACAAACAATTGTGCAGTATGGATGTCGATGAACAGATAAGTCTATAGAAGAGGGGCTATTTGGATCAAACGCCTTGAACTACATGCTTATAGAGTTTCTTGAGGATGTAACTAAACGTGGTTAACTCCATTCTCATATAAGAAAAAAAACCTCATTTTGTCCAATGTCAATTTAGGAAGTAGATGGTTGTATTCCGCAAACCTACCTCTTCGCATGAACACCGATTTTTCTTCTACAGTAGACTCCCTCTTATCCGGACTCCTCGGGACCGTAGCCGGATAACGGTTTTTCCGGTTAAACCGACATCCCAAAAACTTGTTAAAATGGACCGCTTAAATGCATACTGTATACAGTATTTGACTTAAACTTAGGAGAGCATTGTATTTATACACTGGATCACTGGTCCCAAATCTTTCCCATAAGAACAGTCGTTTCAGTACTGCCCACTAGGACCATCTAGTCCGGTTAAACCGATATGCTGATACAAATTTTCCAGTTAAAGAGATGTAATTTCCGCCATGTGTAGTCCGGTTAAAAGGTGTCCGGATAAGAGGGAGTCTACTGTACGAATTTTTAATTTGACATTTTCAAGCAAAAATAACTCTTCATCACTTGACAAAAAACTAGCTTGAAAGGCAAGCTTTTGTTGTGTACACACAACAAAATTCTCAAGCGCTTGGAGCAAGCACTGAAAATATGTTACTTGTAACCAGCTTTCTTTGTGAACGCACCCGTAGGTAGTAAGTAACAATATACTTGACACTATTCATCTCTATAAATTGTGTACTGTATGATGAATAAAGACTTTTTGAATCTTGATACCACAGTAGTAACTGCAATTTTTACCTCTTAAGTTTGCAGCAACATTGTTCTTGATAGATCTTTGTAATAGTATTGGAGTCTGGTTGGAATCCCTCTGCTTAGGTTTCTCTCTCAAATTCTGGTTGGAAACCCTCTGCTTAGATCTCTCTCTCACATTAGGCTTTCCTCTTAAGCTCTGTCTTCTAATCTGAAAGTTCTACGAATAAAGCAATGTTTATTATTCACATTGTTGTATTTAGTTTTTAAATGAGGGTTGGTAATCAAAATAAAGCAAATATTGTTGTAAGGTTACGGTTTTAATATCTCTAAATTGCTTCTTTGAACTTCTGTAGTGTTGCTAAAGTGTATTAGAGAAAATCTTTCTTGGCAAGCCTCATGCTTAGAGACATCTTTCAAATTGCACATTATATTTTGTCTACCATTTTCGGTCAGTAACAACTAAACCTAAAATATTAAGTGCTTAACAAATGTCCATGATACAACATTGATAGTCCAGTATATGATCATTCTCCCATGTAGCCTACAGTAGAACTCCAATCATCCAAATCAATTGGGACCAGACCTCATTCGGATAATCAAAAATTCGGATGATTGGATTTTTACTGAAATTCAGGGTATTGTAAAGAAAAAAGGTCAATTAATGCCGAGCTTTTACTATTGCGAATACTAAACGAGTCTGCGATGATTTTGAGATCGGAAAATTTACGCTTTCGCTGCAGTTGCAGAGTACAATTATGATTTTCTGAGACCGCGGGAGATGATGATGATGTCTACAAGACTGCAGTGGATGTTGAAGATGTTGCAGCGATCGCGGAAAACAATTACTGAGTTTCTGTGGCCCCGGGAGGTTATGATGATGTCAACACAACCGTTGGCTATATTTAACATTTTGCTGCAATCGCGAAAAACTATGATGATATTTTCGTGACCGCGGGAGACGATGATGTGAACATGATCGCTAGAGAGGTTTTGGATTTTGGCGGGTTTGCAAAAAAACTATGATGTTTCCATGACCGTGGGAGACAATGGTGTTGTTTATGTGACCACAGGAAAAGATGATAATATCAACACGATCGTGAGTGAAGTTTTGGATTTTGCTGCGATCACGGCTTCTACCAAATAAAAATTCTTATTACTGTGGTTTTAGTAAGTTTTTTGAATTATTTCTGTAAGCGATTCGGATAGTAGCTGAGTGGTCGGCTGGGTAGCTGAGTGGTTAAATTGCTTGCCTATCAATCAAAAGGTCGCCGGTTCGATCCTGAGAAAAGTTAGTAGCTTTTTGATTGTTTGAAACTGTAGTCCCTGATCATTGAGCTTTAAATAAATGATCCTGAAACATGATGAAACAGATGATCTTAGTAACAAAGCTACACAGATCATCTCACAACATTCTACACTTATCCTTCACTCATATTTGGGTTAAAATACTCACTTTGGTGACGTCCCCATATCATAATGATTATATTTGGAGTTTGGATAAGTGGAGTTCTACTGTATTTATCCCATATAGGTCCGATTTTCAATAAATTTGGATAATAAATTTCAATAAGTTCTGCTTCTCATCTAATTCAAACTCCACCCTGGGCCTTTGGTTGGTTTTTCTCTGGGGGTGGATGATACCTATTCTAAGGCATAAACTATTTTTCATTGAAAATAAGTTCTGAAATATATAAATTGACTAATTTTAAGCAACTTCTGTTCTATAAGGTTTTTTTTAATCAATACCTTTTTACTCATTCTCAGGGGAAGTTGTCAGTTTTCAGGCAAAAAGCCACGTTTCCAGATGGTTTATTGCAAATAACTAACAAAATATACATTTAATCTGTTAAAAAACCTGTCGAGAGCAGAATTGTAGCTTACATAAAAACAAACAAAATACTGTATTTATGATATATGCACACCTAATACAAAGAAAATTATTGCTTGTTGGAAGTTGATTGGTATCTTCTAATGCCAAAATGGAAAGTTTCTACTCAATAGGAACCAACAACAATTGTTGATGGTTCCTATTGAGTAGAAAGAAGACCACAGGCTAAAAACGTGTTATAAATTTTGACAATATAAAGAAATGCTTTTTATTGCTTTTAGTCTAATCATTGGATATAATAAATGGACCAACACAATCCGGGTGACATTTAATGGCGAAGCATTTGTTTTGGCTTGAAACTTTCAGATATTGTATTTGCCAAGGTTTATGGCTTATGCCCTATAATATTTTTGCCAGTATATCCACCAACTGCTGTTCTGAATAGCCTTTAAGAAGTTTTAACTGACTATAATATCCCCGTGCGTAGAACGGGCCTACAGCTAGTATACAATACTTAATTCTAGCGTAAAAAGCCAATACCTAAAATAGAGCGGCCAAGGAATTAGTTTTATAGACAGGGCTGTTCCGCATGTCACCTAACACTTCAATTTAATAAAATTAAAATATGTATGAGGCATAGCCTTATAGTCCAGGACCTGACTAGGGTTCTGTGTGCATGTCGTGTATAGAGAATTTTGCTTTTGCATTTCAATATAGGTGTCTTAGGAAGTGTTTTCCACTCGGGTGTCAAGTTCGCACCTGGTACGTTTTCGAGCTATGACGTCATCAAAATGGCGGCCATTGATTTTTTTAAATCGTATATTTCGCAAACTATTTATCGGATCGGAATGAATTTTTTTTTTTTTGAAAGATAATTTTAAATGCTACCTGTTTTACATTTACACATTTGTTGTATGTTTAGTAGATTCTTCGTAATTTTGCAAAAACCTGTATTTTTAAATATTTTTGAATTATTTTTGTTTGTAACGTTTTATTGATACAATTTATCAAAAACCACCAATGAAAAAAGTTGTAGAACGTTTAAAAATCTTTAGAAAAATACCAAATTCGATATGTTTTACTCAAAAGATTACGTCAAGAAACTAGATAAATCTCATAAAAACACCAATTTTGGCGCAAAAACGCCTATTAGTCCGGCATCTAGGGCAGTTCACAAGTCTTATAAAGACAGTTTCACCATTCAATGTTGATGTATGTGTCTAAATAAGTGTTTTCAACTCGGGTGTCACGTCTGCACCCACTGCAGTTTCCGGTTATGACGTCATTAAAATGGCGGAAAGGGCTATATTAAAAATAACTATATATTACATACCATGTATCGGATCGGAATGAACTTTTTTTTGTTTGAAAGATAACTGTACATGCTATCTTTCTTACATTTGCACTTTTGTTTTATGTTTAGTACATTTTTCGTAATTTTGCAAAAACCTATATTTTTAAACATTTTTGAGTTATTTTTGTCGATAACGTTTTATTGATACAATATATCAGAAATAACTTAAAGACAAAGTTGTAGCACGTTAAAAGAGCTTTACAAAAATACCAAATTCGATATGCTTTACTCAAAAGATCACGTCAAGAAACTAGAAAATCGTACAAAACAACCTAATTTTGCGCAAAAACGCATATAAATCCGACATCGATGGCTGTGTACGAGTCATATATAGACAGTTTTACCATTCAATGTTGATGTATGTGTCTAAAGAAGTGTTTTTAACTCGGGTGTCACGTCTGGACCCACTGCAGTTTCCGGTTATGATGTCTTTAAAATTGCTACATGTTACGATTTCACCAGCTATTTTACTTAAAATAAGACCATTACCCTCTTTTATGCAAATAAAAGCACAGCAAATCAATGTAATTAGTCCATAGGAATGTTTCCACTATACAAATACCCCCGGTGCAGCAATCCTTTCGACTAAGCGAATTTCCATTTGCCTGGATTGATTTTCAATTAATCTATTAAATTAACATTAAATTAACAACTCAAACAATGTTAATTTAATAGATTAATTGAAAATCAATCCAGGCAAATGGAAATTCGCTTAGTTGAAAGGATTGCTGCACCGGGCGTATTTATATAGTGGAAACATTCCTATGGACTAATTACATTGATTTGTTGTGCTTTTATTTGCATAAAAGAGGGTAATGGTCTTATTTTAAGTAAAATAGCTGGTGAAATCGTAACATGTAGCAATTTTAAAGACATCATAACCGGAAACTGCAGTGGGTCCAGACGTGACACCCGAGTTAAAAACACTTCTTTAGACACATACATCAACATTGAATGGTAAAACTGTCTATATATGACTCGTACACAGCCATCGATGTCGGATTTATATGCGTTTTTGCGCAAAATTAGGTTGTTTTGTACGATTTTCTAGTTTCTTGACGTGATCTTTTGAGTAAAGCATATCGAATTTGGTATTTTTGTAAAGCTCTTTTAACGTGCTACAACTTTGTCTTTAAGTTATTTCTGATATATTGTATCAATAAAACGTTATCGACAAAAATAACTCAAAAATGTTTAAAAATATAGGTTTTTGCAAAATTACGAAAAATGTACTAAACATAAAACAAAAGTGCAAATGTAAGAAAGATAGCATGTACAGTTATCTTTCAAACAAAAAAAAGTTCATTCCGATCCGATACATGGTATGTAATATATAGTTATTTTTAATATAGCCCTTTCCGCCATTTTAATGACGTCATAACCGGAAACTGCAGTGGGTGCAGACGTGACACCCGAGTTGAAAACACTTATTTAGACACATACATCAACATTGAATGGTGAAACTGTCTTTATAAGACTTGCGAACTGCCCTAGATGCCGGACTAATAGGCGTTTTTGCGCCAAAATTGGTGTTTTTATGAGATTTATCTAGTTTCTTGACGTAATCTTTTGAGTAAAACATATAGAATTTGGTATTTTTCTAAAGATTTTTAAACGTTCTACAACTTTTTTCATTGGTGGTTTTTGATAAATTGTATCAATAAAACGTTACAAACAAAAATAACTCAAAAATATTTAAAAATACAGGTTTTTGCAAAATTACGAAGAATGTACCAAACATACAACAAATGTGTAAATGTAAAACAGGTAGCATTTAAAATTATCTTTCAAACAAAAAAAATTCATTCCGATCCGACAAATAGTTTGCGAAATATACGATTTAAAAAAATCAATGGCCGCCATTTTGATGACGTCATAGCTCGAAAACGTACCAGGTGCGAACTTGACACCCGAGTGGAAAACACTTCCTAAGACACCTATATTGAAATGCAAACGCAAAATTCTCTATACACGACATGCACACAGAACCCTAGTCAGGTCCTGGACTATTATGGGAGGCCTATAAATTGAAAGT